AGGAAGGGGAGCTGAGAGCAGGGGGAGGGACTACAAGGTTGTTTCTGTTCAAAATTTTTCTAAGTTTTTGGGTTTTCAAGAAACTACATACAGCATCTTTAATTTAAAAAATGATTTTTACAGATACTATTTTCATACTTGCAAAAGGTAGGCTATTTATTATTTAAAATTATTTAATGTTTTAGTATTTCACGTATTTACTCAGCAGGCTTCCCATCAGCCTTTGCGGCTGAAGCGCTTTACAGTGAAGCTGTTTAATTCCAAGTGAAATCCGAAACCTTTGGTTCACACTTTTTTGTCATCGAAACTCCTCCTGAACGGAGCAGAAACACAAAAGGYGCCACCTGAGTTCTTGTGTTGTTTACCTGCTTCAGCTGACGTCCAGTCAGAGCAGCGCTCGTGACCGCACCCTGTCAACTCATGCGCGCAGGTGAGCCACAGGTATTTTTATGCTGCACTCTGAGAGAAACGCAACTCATCAGCTCGGAACAAAACGACTTCTGGCATCTCTGGAAAAAAATATACCCAAATCCTAAAGTTAAATTTAAAAAAAGTCGAGTTTGTCGCCTCATTTTATTTTAGTTCATTTGTTTGTTTGTTTTGTATTTTTATTATTAACCTATTTTTTTTGCAAGGCAGGATGGAGATATAAAGTTCCCAACGACGAGGATTACAGGATTACAGAGTTTGGACGGTGGCTTTTACGCACAATGGGATTATTTTTGGCCAGAAGAGCGGTTGTGCTCCTAATTATCCTGCATGGCTCCAGAGAAGTCCCACAACCAAAACCCACCAGTGGTGTCACGCTGGTGCCTCCCATCAAGCCTGACAATGGACCYCATGTCTACACAGATACGGAAAAATCCAATTTACCCGTGTTTACAATGAACTATCCCAGAATACAGATCCCATTTGAGGTCACTTTGTGGATGCTGCTGGCTTCTTTGGCAAAAATTGGTGAGTAGACTAAAAAAAGAGATCACGAAGATAACTGTACACAAGAGGTTCTGCTTTCTCATCTTTTCCTCTCAGGTTTCCATGTGTATCATAAGATCACTATCTGGGTGCCCGAGTCCTGCCTTCTCATAAGCATTGGTCTGATTGTGGGGGGCATCATGTATGCAGTCCACGAGGAGCCCCCAGCTGTGTTCACCAGCAACGTCTTCTTCCTCTACATGCTCCCCCCGATTGTCCTAGACTCTGGCTACTTCATCCCCATCAGGCCTTTCTTTGAGAACATAGGCACGGTACGTTCCAGATCCTCTGACTTAGTTTTCCTTTAACAAGTTCTCATCCTTGTTATTCCTTCCTGTGTGCAGGTGTTCTTGTTCGCTGTGATGGGCACCCTGTGGAACAGCATCGGCATTGGCATCTCTCTCTTCACCATATGCCAGATCGAGGCGTTTGAGTTGCAGGACATCAGCCTGCAGGAGAACCTGCTGTTCGCCTCCATCATCTCGGCCGTGGACCCGGTGGCCGTGCTCAACGTGTTTGAGGATGTGTCTGTGAACGAGCAGCTCTACATCGTGGTGTTTGGAGAGTGCCTCTTCAACGACGCGGTCACTGTGGTGAGTTGGCTCGGGCAGAGTCGATCAGTGTGTACTGTGTATACACCTAAAGTGATCTTTACCCTTGCAGTGAAACTTTCTGTGCCATTGTTTGTTATGAAAACATTACTATTTAACATGGGTGTATTAAATTAATACATCACATAAGATCTCTTCAAATAGAT